TATTATTTATTTCATTTCATTTACCTTCAATTCTATTTTAATGTGAAAATATCATTATGAAATGTAATAAAGAAGAGTATTATGTTAATTCAAATTTATAATGTTAGTTATGAATAACAATGATTATATAAATATAAATATCAATCTTATTGTTATTAATGAGTAAATATGTTATATTTCATTTATCATAATGATGAGATATCATAATGATATGTTAACAGATGTTATTATTTATTTATTTAAATGATATAATTATTGATATGAAAATTAAATTATATCACAGATGATTATCAATGATGAATGATGATAATATACAATGTAAATTATTTCTATTATCATATCAAACAAGAGTTAAATGATGAAACAAATAAAAAGATAATAAATAAGAAGTATCAATAAAATGATGATATGATAATAACAAAATGAATAATTTAAACATCAACACACTAATACAGAATGAAGAATGAACATTTAATATGTAATATAAATTAAACATTTATAATTAATAATAATGAATTTAATGTTCATCTTCAACTTTCATTCATGATAATAACTCATTAATTTTATCATTAATCATTATATTTATTTTCTTATTATTTTCTTTATTCTTTCTTTTATCATTTTCTTTTTATATTTATTTTATTTCAATTTCATCAACAAATATATTCATTTAATACAGAAATCGAATTAGAAAGATATAACTAATAATATACAAATATATTCTTCTCATATTTAATCACAAATATTTACATCTAATAATATTTTCTACTATTTTTTATCTTTTAAACAATTAACAAGAATTAATTTGCAACATGATAATTCATTTCAATATTCTATCAAACATAAACACTATGTTTTAAACAAACAATGAAGACAATCATTACATTTAAACAACAATTAAGAAATAATAAACAACATCACAAATCAATATAATAATATAATGATGAATACGAATAAAATACATAATTTCGTGACCCTGTTTGTTAGTGTTTATTACTTTTATTATAATTTCTATTTAACAAATTATTCTAGGTCAACACTTCATTCATTATTCTATTTCTTTATTCTATGTAGTTTCATTTCTTATTGTTTGTTTATTATGTATTATTTATATTAACTTCTTCTTATTCTTTATTTTTCATTCTTCTAGTTTTATTTATTTTCATATCAAATATTGATATTATTATCATTCTTTTGTATTTATTATCAGTGCCTTTTTCTCTATTTCTTTCATTGTTAAATTTCTTTTGTTAATGAATTGGTATCATTTTGTATTGTTATTCTTTGTGTATTATTTATCTTTTTCTACCTTTCTTATTGCTATTTCATCTTATTATTATATTAGTGTTTGTTTTGATTTATCTCTTCATTTTTTCTCTCTGTCTTTATATTATCACAATTATCAGAATGATTTAAAATGATATCATTATTTATTATTTCTCTAACATTTCTAATTTCTCTTTCTTTTATTTTAATTTATTATTAATTATCATCATTTATTTCTCATTATTTGATTGTTCTTTTTATTTGTATTTTCATTTCTATTTCATTTTCATTTATATCATTATTATGTGATATTATCATTAATTATGATGAGATGTTTTGATATTTCTTATTTTTTATTATTATTATTTTCTTATGTTATTATTATTGTTATTTAAAACAATAAAAATGAAATGATGTTTATTAAAATGATAAAATAATAAATAAAATAATGTGTTACAAACGTGTATTTAGTTATTTAATCATCTTATTTTAATCTGATATTTATTAAATTAAAATGGAAGAGTTAATAAACAAGAACACTCATTTCTTTAAAGAAGAAATAGAAACACTTCCAAATATTCAACAATCAATTGATGATATTAATAAACATTATCATTATTATTTAGGATGTATTAAAAATGAAATATTTAAAATAAAACCAGATGAAACGTATTCAGAAGCTATTAAAAGAGGAGAAGGAATATTTGATAGAATGGATGAAACAGAAAGAAGAAGAAAACTAATAATAGAAAAAAGTCAAGAAACAATTAATCAAACAGAAATATTAATAGATAAACTGATAAAGATAATAGAAGAATGTAATAAAGATGAAGAAATACTAAGTAAAACACGGAATGAAATAATCAATAAAATCATTTCAATTGAAGAAATGGTCATGAAAGATAAACTATTCAGAACACCAGAAGAAAGTGATAAAATCATACAATCATTTAACAAAAAGAAACAAGAATGGTTTACACAATATAGTGATTATTTTGAGAGGAAGAAGAAAAAAGAAGAAGAAGACGATAAGACCAATATAACAACAGATGTATTTAATGCTTATACAAATGATACTACAGATGTATCTGAACAAAATATTCCAATTAGAGGAAGTATAAGATTGAAAAATCATGAAAAAGGAAAATTGAAAATATATTTATATCCAAATGAACCATTTAATCAAGTAGAAGAGAGTGATGCAATTGCTATTTTAGTTGTTGGTCAAACAGGAAGTGGTAAAACAACATTATTAAATAGTTTTGTAAATGCATTATATGGAATCAAGATAACAGATGATTTTAGATATATAATTATAAATGAAGATAATTTAAAACAATGTAGAGATCAATCTAAAAGTCAAACAAGTAAAGTTTCAATTTATAATATTAAAAGAACAAAAAGAACACCTCCAATAAAAATAATAGATACACCTGGATTTGGAGATACAAGAGGAATTGCATATGACAAAGCAATTATTAAACAAATAAAAGAAGCATTTGAAACAAAAGTATTTGATTTAACTGCTATTTGTTTTGTTGCACCATCTAGTAATGCAAGACTAACAGCAAATCAAAAATATATATTTGGGAATATTATTGATTTATTTGGGAATGATGTGAAAAAGAATTTTATTGCTATGCTCACATTCTGTGATGGTAAAACACCACAAGTTATTAATGCATTACAATCGCAAGATTGTATTTTCAGTTCAGTTATTCCTGAAATAGATGAACCATGGTATTTAAAATTTAATAACTCAGCTATTTATGATGATAATACTGGAGATGAATTTACACAAATATTTTGGAAATTAGGCATGAAGAACTTTGATGACTTTATTGAAAAATTAAAAAAATTACCAAAAAAGTCATTAGAACAATCCAGAGAAGTTTTGAGGAGAAGAGAACGTATTAAAGCCCAAAT